CGGGCCAGAGTGACCCAGTAGGAATCTTTGAAAGCGGCCTTTGTCAAAGCTGTTAGTTGCCCGTTCCCTCAATATACACCACTGACATGTCAAGTACCAGACGGACCAGATAATGTGACGGTCAATATCAATATCTGTGACTCGGCTAAACTTCTTTTGGATTTCAAGGAGGCTCTGCTCGAATTTAGCAATCCTTCTCATGACCTCCAAGTATGGAAGCTTCCTCAGGGTGAGCCCGGGAAATTTATAGAAACCGGCGTCGACTCCGGTGGTGCGGATCAGCCATACCAAGATAATGTCCTTTCATAATTTCGGGGACCGTCTTTTGAGCGTTTTTCCTGCCATGCATAGGATACAATGGAGCTGCTTACAATTATATAGTCCCTTTCATCCCAGGTTCAATTCAAGTCTGCCTCCATTTTGCAAACGTAGTCGATTGTATCCATCCGAGTTCCATGGATTCTACCTTAAGCTTTGGAGTCGAGATTAAACGGCCGTCTGTATACGGAGTAGTTATGACTGTGAACAATCTTCTAGCGGATAATGCAATCTTATATCGTTTTCGCAGTACCATACTGTATTTCCAAGGAAACATAAATGGTGCAGTGCTTACAAGAGTGAAATTCCCAGTGGTAACTTCGCCCCCGTAGATTCCGCCACATGTCCATCAGTAACTGTTTGAGACAAAAGCACGGCATTCAGACAACGTCATAAAGTGCAAGCGGATACACAACCTTATGAAACAAATTAGACATCAATGGCACTATCACTGCGTCTGCCCCTTGAAATTTCGTCCATTCGCTCGGCCAGTGACTTTATTGCGTTTTTCGTTTCCTGTTTATCTTCACCGAGCTTTTCGACTTTCGTATTGGTGCTCTCAATGGCTCTAACGATAGATTCCAGGGCCCCTTTAAAACCCTTGAAATCTTCCGTAAGACCGTCAATGTGCCCTTTAAAATCCTTGAAGTCTTGCGCAAGATTGTCAATGCGCCGTTCCACTGTTTGGACTCGGCTCTCTGTCTCCCCCTGGGATGCCGCTTCCTGGCCGAGGGGAATACCCCGTCGAGCATAAGACTCCTTTTGGACTTGACGCCAGGTCTTCCCCTTTCGCCCGCGTTGCCCCTGGTCAGAGTCATAGGCCAGATTTACTTCTTCGTGTTTCATGGGCTCCTCTTCCATGGGTAGGCGTTGGCTGTCCCTTCTTCCGGTTTGCTTCACCCACTCGTTGACCTTCGCTTCCCCACACAATTGTCTAAGATCGTTGAGAAGAAGGACTTTTACCCCTTTGATGAGGTTGAACTCGACGCAACATGTCGTATTGGCGTCACGAGCCATTGAGTCTTTATTGCCTCTCTGCAGCCGACGACAAGCATACCAGTGGAACTTCTTCACTCCCCCAGTCGTCTTTCTGGTAAACTTCTCCTTCTTCGACCCAGCATGGATCACCATCTTTGACTCTAATGTGTTCCAATCGTCCAACAGCGGCTCTATCTCCGCAGCGGATTTTATTTGGCGTTGGTAATTCCCAGTTTTCTGGTCCTTGATCTCAACGTGATAGTAGCTCACTTTCCCATTCTTTGTCCGAATCGACGTTCGCTCAGTCTTTTCCTCGGCTAGTAGGGTGACTCCATCACCGTCCTCGAAGGTAGTCACGTATTTTTAGTCCATGCTTTGTCCAGGTGCCTTTGGCTGACCTGTTCGCCGGACCCACTATACTACTGGATGGTGCTCTGCCATTCCTGCCAGAGCCGTTACCATTGGTAGCGGGGCTATCAGTGTCGTCCTTGCCGGTGTTGTCCTTGTCAGTTGGGTTGTTGCCAGTGCTGTGGCTTTCTTTGTGTTGAATTAATGACGTGTACCCACTCAAGCTGCTTCCTTCCCATTGGATAGATTGTCTCTAGGATAAAATGGATGAGGCCTGAGAACCCATAGTGATCAAGCAGATCAGTGGACGAATAAGGTAAGGATCAAGCCAGGGCGATTGTACAATAACTGACCCCTGCTACGTTGCGTCTTACTCATTATGTCGAACTAGGAGGCTTTTGCACGCATCATCACATGATACTACCACCCAGAATGTCCGCTCAATAGCGCCACTTAAGTATTTTGTGTCCTATTTGGAGAACTCACGCTGTCCCGACCACTCTCCTCTTTTCCATGTCACCGTAGACTTTCCCTAAAGGCCAATATGTACTTCATTATCCTTCAACCAGGTTACCGCTATAAATTCTATTTAATGACCTGCCTAACCCCCTGAGACATTTCTTTGATTTTTTTTGTCTTCAGCTGGCGACCCCACAAATGGCCTGCCGGAAGATCTAGGATAGACCCCGAGCTAATCAACAAAGACGACGGCACAGCTAATGATTGGTCAAATTTGTGGGCGCAGCGAGTCTTGCGACAGCTGTCTTTACTGCTGTCCACTAATTTTAATTCTGGAAGCGTCTCAGATGTACCCGAGGCTGGTACAGCAGAGAACTGGTTAGCTTGCTTCCCCCTGGTGCATTTGGTGCCGGTCTGCACCCTTGTCGCACAGTACCCCCCACTCAACACCAAGACAATACGGCGGAAGGAGAACAAAGAAATATCAAGGAAAGAAACGGACAGAAAAGGAGATGAGAGATTTCCAGTCTGACCCTTCGCCGCTTAAGTACATAGTATCTCATAGTATCCCCTACTAAAATAACTTATTACAACACAACGAGACGCTGGAATACTATTGAGCTAAAATTCTGAAACTGTACATTTTAACTCTCATACACATCAATAACTCTCAAGGACATGCCGTTCCAGATGGGTAGTCATTAAGCCGTCCAAAATGGATTGAGGAAAGCTACAGCAAGAGGATGGCCATGTAGGACCACCCATCCGCAAGAGTGTAGGTTCGCTTATGAGCGCGCAGCGCGACCCTCTGAGCGAGCACTGAAGATTTCTGCGAAAAAGAGCTTGGAATGCCTGGAGATCAGGGAAAGCACATAGCCAGTCTGGTGGATTTCGACGTAAATAAATTGCCTACAATGGGGTGCCCGAGAAGGCTCTTGTGCTGACTGTCACAGAACTGGGTCCCAGACATACCAGCACGGTGGCACGCATACGGAGACGGTAGACCGACGACCTTCATGGGAACTTACCCTTTTGAATCCCTGCGGTTTTAATCAGCCGCGCCTAGCCCACTAGAACATCCGATTCACGAGACTCTCTTAGTGGGTGTATCCTAGGGATCGCCTAGTCGAAAAAGACTGGTGGGCACTCGAAACATCGGCGATTCTGGTCAACATCGATGAGAAAGGTAGGTGCTCGATAGCTTTCCCACTCCGCTATTTCGTTCCTGGCTTTTGGTAACCTGGCCTTCATTCTAGCACTTGGGTTCTAATGTGTTGACTTTTACTTCGAGATCCTCAATCTGTCCTTCTACCCAATGAGTATATGTACCACTAGTTGTAAGTCATCTCGCACGCTTCCGCTACAATCGCAAAATTCCCCTCGCTTTAGTATAAGCGTATCAAGACATGCACCCGAAAGATTGGTGTACTTCAGGGTAACCCTTTGAGATAACAGTTTCCGAACTGGATCATCTTGTTTCAGACTATATGTGGGATCATAGACGACGCGAATAGCGGGAGCAAAATGGAGAACAAGTTTTCGTCTCACTGAAAATAAGGGTCTGCGTAAGACGTTGCAGGCAGAATTTTTGATCATGAACGATGAAGCTATCTGAAAAGCAATAACTTAGCATGTAGAGGAGGTTGGACCAAGCGATAATCGTCCTATTGAGGTATTTGTTCTGTGAGAGCACTCTCCGAAACCGCCAGATGTTAAAAATAGCAGTAAGTGTGAGTCGCTAATGAAACCATCGATTCAATACTCACCATGCCAAGGGACTTTGCAACTACGCGTCTCGGAGTCTGATCTCAGCCAATTCCTCAAGAGGCGTGAAAGGAAGCGCGATTCCTTAAGCGTTGAGTACTTAAAATACCATTCAAGCTCGCAATGAAGCCCTATATCACACTCTTTACCGTTCGAGCTCATACTTGGGGGGTCTTCATAGGAAGAAAATATCAAATATTCTAGAAATTACAAGTTGACTATCGTTATGACCCGAAAGCTTTGTCCGACTCCAGAGTGGTTCACCTGTCTTTCTGCATGCATAATGCGACGGTACAGTACCACAAGCTCGCGATGACCTCTACATCGGCCTCTTTACAGTGTGAGTTCGAATTTGGTTGGCTGTCGTATGGGAGCGTTCGATAAAGTTTTGATTCCGAGGATATATGTTCGTGGCCTAGTACTGCACTCAGCCCATCACCTTGGCCTTTGCATCCATACTTATAATTGTATGTGCATGCCGAGCCACAGGTAACTTAAACCTTGGTCAACTTCCAAACGGGGTGCTGTTAGACCCCATTTCTAAGCACATGACGTCCTTTGTGCGTCGTTAAATCACCCTCACTGACGTTTGCGGCATTACAGCGGACGAGACCATCGTTCGGCCCTGGTATTGGGCTGTTGTTTGAATTCACTGTCATGTCACAAATGAAATAAGGTTTGGCAAAATGTGCTTGTATGATTTCGTCATCACTGATGCTTGCAGCATTGGACTTGACGAGACCGTTGTTAGACCATGGCATTGAATTGTCTTCTCAAACCATTTGATGTATACATACATCTCTATAGTTTATTCAGCATTACAAATGCTAAGAAGAAGCTTAGTACTATTGGCCAACTAGATGCTACGCCATCATGATATTTGCAGAGCCGTTCATTACATATCACAGGAAGAAGCATTATAGCTGAGTCATGTCAATGCCTTCTAGGCCGATGGCAAGCAGTCAGGTGAGACCAGTCGCTAACGTCATTATTAAATATGGCACAGCCGTTCATCACCATATAAGACAAGCTGTTCTCTACTTGCCCAACGGTGAGAGATCAATACCAGGAATAGTCATTGCATCCTTGCCGCAATATTAACTTGAACATTCGTATATCTCAAAATTCTAACCATGGGCAGAACAGTAGCAAAAGAAGTTACCAACCGCAATGAGGTACGAGCTGCCATCGCAGAGGGGGGATGGAACGTTGTTTACGGAGATCTGATTAATGAAGGAGACGTCCTTACATTCATCATCTCCATACCTACAGGAGCTGTGGGAGGTTGGGTTGCTCAGCAGGTCCAGGCTCAGTTGGCGAAGTTTTCTCAGAGTCTGAGTGAAGTCTCTGATGATGTTGTTTTGCAAGCGACCAATTATCTGGGAAATCTGATAAAGGGAGGCGGTTCTGGAGAATCAGATATCCATGGCTTGGGAGTCAAAGGGGGCTTTGCCACCTATAACCGCCATATGGAATATTTTCTTTGGGGTAGGAAGATTGGCAGTCATGATCTGCCAAACAACCATCAACCATACATTGCTATACGCGTTACCAAACCTCTGCCACCACAGGGAACTGTGCCGCAAGTGCCACCTATAACCACGAAAGGGTTAGTTCTTCAAACAGGTACATCGCTACATGAGACAGACAACACGTTCGATTTTGCTGTGGGAGACTGGAATCAGGATGGAAAACCTGACTTGTTTGCCATCAAAAAGAGCAACACGGGCTCTAACAGCACCGAGGTCCATATACTCTCCGGTGCCTCGAACTTTCAGAACTTTATCTTTCAAAAGGGCACAGCCTTACATCAAACAGACGATACGTTCGATTTTGCTTTGGGAGACTGGAATCAGGATGGAAAACCTGATTTATTTATTATT